GTGTGTGTGTGTGTGTGTGTGTGTGGGGGGGGGGAGGGCATGTTATTGTGTGTGAGAGAGAGAGAGACAGCTACAAGGTAACAAATTGTGTAATAGTTTAATCTAAAATTGCCCAGCAACCCAGCCTGTCAAAATTCAAATACATAAATATAAATGACTTGCCACTGACTTACCAAAACAAAGGAATAAGAATCAGAGGACTAACAACATAGAACTGCATGTCATTGGAGAGGTACCAGGACCAACCCATGCACTAGAAGAAAACAATCTATCAAGCACATTTAAAAACACCCAAAAAATAAAACCATAAAAAAGCATATATATGAAGTTTCACTTTTTAGAGAAGCATGGTTTAATTTTTTGTTCATTATGTATGTGAAGATCTACATGTATTAGCAGGAGTGTGTATCTTTGTAAAACCTTCAGCTTTCTTAATATAAAGTTTTAACTTTTAACTACCCAATACAAAACCTTGAGGTATTTATGAGACAGCTAATACATATGTAGCTATATGCATAATACAAAAATTGGCTAAATAATTATTAACTAAAAAAGAGTTGCAAGGTTCACAGTATGTTATAAAAACAATCTATGCCTTGATTTCTATGACTGCAAACTGTGGACCCATCTGGTTAAGAGCTACAAGAAGTACCTGTTCACAGTAACTGTATACTATTGATTATTCAGATTAATATGTAATAATATATGGCATAGGTATACATAAAAGAAGTCTGGCTTGCATTCATTTGAGGCAAAATGTTTTCATGAAAAGTTCAAATAGTAAATTGAACAACGTCACAACACTGTCACCTGATAAAAATTTTAAAGAAAATCTCACAAATGTACATATCTAGCGTTCATAAAGATGTGCATGTTGCGGCAGCATAGCTTACCATTTTATCCATTTGTACAAAATTGTTTACATATATAAGATTTGTCCACCACGTTTCATTACAGAACTGATCCATTGCTCCCTGTTCTGGCCACAAAGGTCCAGTTGCCCAGTACTTGGTGGTCACTGCATACACCATCAACACCAACATGTAAGGGGGAGTCAACCTGAAGGAATAAACAGCAATGTGTTGGTTGAGACTGGTTCATTTTCATGGATTCACAACTAACGCATTTCATCATTTTTTATTCTCATTATGGTTATTTGTTTCTTCATGAATCATTGGTGCCCTGTGCACAGAATTATGTCACAGTTTTACCTCCAGAATCTGTGGAAATAATATAGTCCCCAGTTGATCCTGAATCTACCACTCCCCTTCTTCATCTCTCTCAGTGTTAGATATGTGACAAGAAGACCACTGAAAAAATAAATTATTAGTAAAGTTTACTGCATTACTCATTTTTACTCTCACCTTTATCCACATGTATTTTATAGCGCATAAACTTGACATGCATGTGTGTGTGTGTGTGTGCGTGCGTGTGTGTGTGTGTGCGTGCGTGTGCGTGTGTGTGTGTGCGTGCGTGCGTGCATGTGTGTGTGTGTGGTGGGGGGGTCAAACAAACATAAGGTGTTACCAAATAATTCTTGAAAATTCATAAAGCATATATCGATAAGTCAAACATAATACTTAATTTCCATAAACTTCAATTTCAATCATCACCAAACTTTTAATTTTCACTTAAAGGAGCTGTTTGACCCATAATCAATTTAGGTTTAGGGAAAGCACTTCTGCTCCTCTGTGTAACCCATTGCAATGTAAATGAAACAGTCAAAACAGTATATACAACCCTGTAGACACATGTAGATATCCAAGAGAATGCATGTTAGTGTGTAGACGTGGCAACCCTGTATCTGAACCATCAAGAGGATTATACTGATGATCAGTCTACTTGCCTTAAGACAAAGAAGGTGTCCACAGAGAAGGTACCCTGCAATAGGACCTGCATTGTCCAACGTTTTGTCAGGTCCTGGTAAACAGGTACTAGATTATCTGAAAACAATTTCCAAAAGTTATTGAAGAAAAAGTCAAGACAGCTAAAGTAAGTATACTAGTATGATGTTAAAGGTAAACACATTGTACGTGTACCTAAAATAATATGTCCAACAAATATACCTGCACATCAAAGCTGAGAGAATATAATAAATTAATTGAAAGTTATAATTATATGTTTTGTTCAACTACTAATTTTCTATCCATCAGTCATATCCTTACAAGTGGAGTAATGTGATGGATGCCCATTTTGGCAAATGTTTTAAATGCTATAGAGCATAGAAGATATGTGTGCATATATTAAGAAAAGCTTGCAGAGGGCAGTAGCAGACTAGCTAGTAGTAGTAGGGGTCAAATATCAAGTTACCCTGGAACCCATGTTGAAGAGAAGTACATGTGCGATATTTGTACAGTAACTGTGGAACATAGTTAAGCAGGTCTAAAGGACACTTTATAAAACAAGGAGTCGTATTAATTTGCTCACCGTTGATACCTCACATCACATAACAGCAATCAACCCCCCCCCCAAAAAAAAAAAAAAAATCATAACTAGCATTAAATGTAAAACGTCCATTGCAAACTTGCATTCACGTAAGAAAAATACATTAAAGTTAACATAGATACTGGTTCAATAATCATTACATAATCATCTTAAAAACTATTATGAAAACCTACCAAAACCTACCAACAAAAAACACTATGAAAGCATAGGTGTGTCCCCAAATAACCCAGGAGAGACTTAGAAATCGAATTCCATTGACACAAGTGAGAGCGCCACTGCCTTGCCTGGTGTTCAGAACTTTTGCACCGTTGGTGTACATAGAAAAAGCTATGATAATTTTATGAATTGTGCCTGAAATGAAATATAGAAAATGATAATAAGAATGTACATCTGTGTAAAAATGAATTATCAATACTAATAAATATGTATTGACTGAATAAATTATCTTATTTTATAAACAGCATGGCTTTAACTAGTAAACTCTGGATAAAGTGATCAAAGGGATGTCAATGAAAAGGGGGGTAACATTTGCTTCCTAGAGGGCATACAATAGGTAATAGTTTGTAATCAAAACATCCGTTTCCAAGATAGTGTTAAAGCAAATTTTACAACTAAATCAGCCTATACTAACCCCTATAACTTGGTGGTGATAAAGATTTATTGGCAACAGTGGGATACTGGGCCTGGTCATGTATGGGCGCATATTCACCAACTCGTAATGCATGCTCTCCTGCGTTGCCAGCGCTGTTATTCACAGTTTCATAGGGGACCCTAATCTGCACAGTATTAAACTGGGTCATCGCATGCTGAACGTAAATGTCATAGACTGTTCCCATGGCAACAAGAAGAACAAGAAAACCAACAAAACACCTGAAAGGAAATTACAAAATAATGAGACTAAAATAGACAAGACCATACATGCTGAAAATTCTGAAAAAAAACAACAAACAAACAAACAAACAAAAAAAAAAAACAAACGTACGAGTGACATCAAACAATGACATCAACATCAAAAATAATTCTTCATGATGACATCAAAGACATCAATGTTTCTTTGACCAAGAACATAATCATCACTCAGACAACAATCTCTGATGACAGCAAAGTGGCAACTCTTGATGTTATCTTGGAGGGCACTGCGTTATATAATAATCCTAGTTGTTTAGCAGATCTGTGAAAAGTGATAAATGGGTATATTTCTAATCTTGCCCAGTGTTTTATTTACAATTTGGAACTAGAGAGTCAGATGACTCGCTGACACTGCAGATTACGAGTCATTTTTTATTTTCAGGAGTCAAAATTTTCCCGCCTTTTTGGAATGGGTAATTTTAACTATTAATGATGCATACAACCATATATTATGTAAATAGATTGTACATGAATTGAGGTTGTTTATTTGTAATTGTTGTATTCCAGACTTAAAGTATAGAATTCTATCTACAGGAACTGAAGAATACAAAAAAAAAAA